TCAATTTGTGACTTGCTCGGTAATAACAGTTATTACGGTTTGATTTAGGTGAAAATCGTTTGAATTTTTACCGAACCAACGTCTGAGGAGAAGATGAGGGCGGAACCTTCCATTGAACCTGAACAGGTACTTCCTACACCACTTTCATCTATGCATTTTCCGTTGTTTCTCTCTGTTTTCTGAATATATAAATTGTGAATGGTGTTCATGAATGAAGGGAATTCAGAGTCCCAACCTGGAGGACTGCTTGAAACTGCTGAAAGGAGAGCGAGACGAACAGCGTCTTGCTGGCCTACTTCTCGTCACCAAGTTCTGCAAAGCTGAGGATCACTCCTCTCTTCTGAGAGTGTATGATGCGGTTGGCCCTCGCTTTCTGTATCGCCTTCTTAGAACTGGTACTTACTTTTTTCTTGCTCCTTCTTTATTCATTTCTAATGTGTTTTTCACGTTTTTTTTTTTTTGAATTAGGTATGGGAAGTGGCTTCAATGAGAATCGCGATGCATATTTAAGCCTATCTATCACTGTTCTTGCTGCATTTTGTCGCGTTCCAGATATAGCTTCTTCGGAGGACATGGTTTTGAATATTCCACTTGTGTTAGAAGTAATATCCACCCAGTAATGATCTACACTTGCTTTCATACACCTTATTTTTGCCTTCTGCTAGTCCTTTTTTTGTTTATTTTTTAATCTCTTGTTAAGGTCTGGCTCGTCTGTTCTTCAAGAATGCTATGAGTTTTTGTACTTGGTGTCAGCTGCTTCTGGAAATGGAATCACGAGATTTTGTGAATCTGAAGGCATCAAGATATTAGCTTCTCAAATGAGTGCTTTGCAAGACGGTAAGATTTTATTGTCTGCTGGTAATGCTTGCTTTCACCGTACTGAAAAGTAAGGGACTGAGTGAAACCATTGGCAGTTAGTGTATTTTAATTTTTTGTATTAGGTTAATACACTAACACAGTATGCACAACAGTTGGGAATGGAATTTATTGGTAAACAAGGCTGTACTATTCATGTATCTGTGTTTGAGCTCTGTAACTGATATCAACAAGATATTGGTCCAGAATAATTAGGCACGGGTTTAAAACTAGTTCTTATTTGTAAAAACCACATTTTTAGTGTGTATATAACTCATCTACTAACATGGGAATTATAAACATATGCTCCTAATTTGCAGGTTCACATTTGATGGAATTATCTTTCAAACTTCTGCAATTGATTCTGGGTAGGATGTCCTTTGAAATATTCCAGAATAATGACTTATCTGACATTTCAGTTATTGTAAGTGTGTTTCTATAATATTTCTATTTGGTACTTAATTTGTTTTCATTTTTATTAAGTAATCTTGCATCATGGTAAATAAACATATATAATGTCTTTGGTGAAGCAATATTTTTGACACGTTCCTCTACAGGTGGCAGCAATAGCAAGGCAATTTGCTGTCTTGCACAATTCCTTGAAATTTGAAGCTCTCCACTTGCTGAATGCCATTCTTACCTCAAAAGATTCTGTATGTGATCTTGTCTTACTTTGTTTTCCTTCTGGCGTGGTTTTATGGCATAATGATATTCTAGTATACATGAAGATAAAATCTACTTAAATTGATATGGCCCTGGAATTTGGTTTATTTAGAGTTCTTTCTTTCCTGATATTTTATCAAGTTACTTCTAGATCAGAAATTAGATGCTGTTCTCCATATTCTAGTCATTCCTCTGCAGTTTTTTTTTTTTTTTTTTTTTTATATTCTCCATATTCTAGTCATTCCTCTGCAGTTCTTTCTTTCCTGATATTTTTATAACTTATGTATGTGCAACTTAATTCATTTACCTTGCAACTGACTACAAGCAATCCACGTTTTCAGACACAACTTCGTAATGCCCTGCGATTACATCCTCAAGATAGCTGGTCAACCAATATCCACACTGGTATAATAGCTGTTCTGCAGAACCGTGTTGGTATGTTGAGACAATTTACTTAATTATGTGCACAGTACATTTTACCTGTTGTTTCAGTTTCTCTTGATGCATTCTTTCATTTGGTACTTTAAACTTGTAATTTTAGCAATTTTCCCTCAGCTGATAAAAATAATGAGATGGAATGTATGTAGCGAGAATGAACTCTGAGTATAGAAAACTCTATGGACTGGGGAATTAAAATTTAAGGAATGATTCCCTGTGTTCAAGGATAAGAGTAACAGAGATGAGAGACTGATAAAAAAAAATATTTTGATGGTAATCTGTCTATTGCAAAACGTAACTAGCACATATATGCATTGGTTGGTTACACTCGCACAGAGGAAATGAAAGGCTGTAATCAACCTCCTCAGTTCCCTATTTCAATAATTGTTCATTGCCACATCAGCAAATCACGTTAAAAGGAAAAAAAATCCAAATAAAAGTGCTAACATATGAAGCTATAAAAGTATGAATGAAAAAATAAATGCAAGTTACAGTATTTATAAATGCACCATATAAATGCTGTAACAAATTACATACTTGTTTGATCTTGCATACTGAAAGTTTTAAAGATAGCAGGCTATGTTGTGGCAAGAAACTGAACACTTTATGGACTAATTCCTGTTCTCTAGTCTGGAGAGTTAGTTTTAATTAGGTGGTTGGTTTGAAGGAAAGGTTGTGGATGGAAGGACACTTCCTCTTTGCACTTTCATATGGTTAATCTGAAGTTTTATATTAGATGTTCTTATCTTACTGTACTGCATTATGGTTTTTTAAGACAATAAAACACTAAGCTGTATGAATTGGTTGATTTATTATTCATGTACAGCTCCTGCTGAAAGGTTGCAGGCTCTCATTTTAGCCGAGTCTATGGTTTCCATGCATGGAGAGGATTGGTTGGTTAGCCAAGTAAACACAAATGATGCACGAGATCCAGCTTCAGCTAACATGTAAGTTGTGCTTGCTAATAATTTTTTTATTCATCTGCATTGAGTGTCTTGGTTTATTTTCTCACCCCTTCCCATTTTAGGTGCCTTTTGCTTGTCTTGGAGCAGTCAAGGGTCGAAATTGCTGTTCTACTGAATGAGCTGGCATATTTGAAATATGAAGCGCCTCAGGATACTTCAGCTACTGCTGAAGCAATTTTTACGAAGCAACATAATGTGGCTGTTGCTTACTCTTTGGTTGAGAAGATAATAAAATTAATATCAAATGTTGAGGAAAATGATGGTATATTCAAAGAAACCCAATTCACTCAGCCTTTAAATTCTGTTTCATCACAAACGTTAATTTGAATACACACACAGAGACGTACGTATGTATGTATAAAAGATAAATTTGGGCTGGAGGGGTTCTTCTCAATTCTATTATCTGTTAAATGTGAAGATTAGAGTGTGTAGTATTTTCAGCAGCATTTTTAGAACGTATATGGGTGAGAATATGAATACATGGCTTTTAATTACATTTCAAATGATACTAAAAGGTTTCAACATAATGTAATTTTTAATCATGCTGGTTAGTTGTTTGTACTCCCATACAGTGAATATAGTGAACTAGTATTGTCAATTGTAAACTATATGGATATGGATACCATTTGGAAATTCGGATTTTATTTCTATTGTGATTTTGATTACTTGGTAATGTGATACTTGTCTCACATTTTGAAACCAGTGCTGCTGACACTTTTGGAAACATGTCTCTGTGGTTAAGTTCTTGTTAATTGAGTATAATGCATCTTCATCGTACTCTTTCTTTTACAGGAAACCTCCTAGATGAAGGCACACTAACAAAGCTGATTCTCCAGCTTAACGAGACAATTGCTGTTGTACTAGAGTATTTGGAAGATGCAAAGGTAAGGCTGATGTTTAATTGCTTAATGTAATTTTAATTATTAGTGTTCAGAGTCATTGTTGGTGGCAACTGTAGTATAAATACTTGGGTAACCAGAGACTCATTTTCTTTTATACAATTCATTTTCATTATACCAGTTGTTTTTCTCTTTAACATACTTTGTACTGCATTCTGAAATATATACAGTTCATCTCATTATAGTATTATTTTCTCCTACTCTCTTTATCTTGTTTACAAACTTATAGCAAATTATAATTATGAAATCATACAGGAACATGGGCAAAAGAAAGGGGATGATTTACTTGCTTCAGTGCGAATTATTGGGAGGTATGTTTTACTGTTGCTTTCTTTTGAATTATGTTTACTTTGACTCTTGATGGATTAACAATGATTTATGTCAAATCATATATGGAAGACATCTTTCATATATTGGTGTGGCATTTGTTATGTAAAAGTTTTAACAATGATAGACCTTCTTAATCTGTATATTATTCATGCTTTCACTGTCATATCATTGCCGTGTGTTAAGAAGTGATTTTAAGCCTAATTCAACCCTCCAAAACCGGCCTATAAGGTGAGATTTGTACCCATTTATATACTATGAAATCGTATTATCTCTAATTGATGTAAGATTTCCAACACACCTCCTTCATGCCAAGGTATATACATTTCGAGCGTGAAACTAGATATTAATGGATGGTCTAATAACAGTCAAATAACAGGTGGCACAATAGGCGCAACAAAGAACAAATCTCGTTAGCACAAACTCTAACTTATGATTCTCTAATCCTATGTTAAGAGATGGACTTTAAGCTTAACTCAACCTTATAAGCCAATTTTGTAAGGTTTAGTTAGGTTTAAAGTTTACTTCTTAATATGGTATCAGAGTCATGAGTTAGAGTCTATCCTAGAGAGATTTATTATTTGTTGGGTCTATCGTGTTACTTGCTACTGTCGTTATTAGACCACTCATTAATATTTAGTCTCACATTCGAGATATATATATTTTGTGACGGGTGTGTTTGGAGATTCCACATCAACTAAAAATAAGACGATTTCATATTATATAAGTGGATTCAAGTCTCACATTATAAGCCGGTTTTGTAAGGTTGAATTAGATTTAAAGTCCACCTTTTAACACAATGTATGTGTAGTATCAGGAAAAAAGCATGCAGATTTAATTTATTTTCTAGAAGCAAATTGCAATTGTATACATCATCTTAAACTAATTTAGATAGTTGTTTCATCAATTTTCACCTTGTTTCTTCATCTTATGCTAATTTGGATAGTTTTTGTTTCAGCTATCTTGCAGAAGCACCCCTAGCATGCAAGGAGAAGGTTCAAGATCTTTTAGGGTATATGCTTTCCATTGAAGGTGAAGATGAACAAAGGTATCTTCAAAGATAATTATGGGCAAAAGAAAATTCCTTTATCGTGGAGCATTTGCATAATTTAATTCTATGTTCCAGGCCCTTCTACTCTGTTTGCTTTCTTCTACCTATGCTGTCTCAAATTACTATGAAGATTGAAGGATGCAAAGCTTTGGCTTCATGCAAAGGACTTGAGGCTGTGAGTTACTTTTTGGTTCCAATACTTGTATTTTTAAATTTAAAATTTCCATTTATCCTTCCTCTTTTTTAATGTTCGCTTATTAATGCATTTCCTTAAAGGTTATCCTTACAAGTAAATCAAGAGTCTAACGATTGCTTGATTGATGTGTAGTTCATTTTGATATTCTCACATGGCTTTCACATTTATTGCTGTTAAAGATATAGTTTGATTACATCAAACAGGGGAATATCTTAGAAAATATTTCTCATTATTATTTATTGATTTTGTTCCTTATTATTGTATTTCTTCTTTATTATAATAAGACTACTCAAATGCACATAAGATGCTCGGTTACTAATAATTTTTTTAACGATATCAGAGTGGTACCATCCTCGTCAACATGCTTTGCCACTATTCCACTGCTAAGTTCCCTTAAACAAAAAAATTGAAACTCTAATTAGTCACCTCTTCTGTTGTATCTGATTATATTTGTCGCTCTGTGTCATTCACTTGCTTTGTCACTTTGATTTGTAGTTGTTGTCGTTCATTGACTGTCATTCTGACTTCTTTATTTTCATCTTGGCTAAACAATAACCGCGGGAACATTTTTGCTCTTTGACAATTGCAGCTTTCTTTGAGCATTTTTGCTCTAGTAACCGCCATTCCTTGTGAGCATTTCTTCTCTTTGGCAGTCGTCATGTCTTCTGATCATATTTTTCTCCTCCTTAGCTGTCCTACTCTATGATCACTTTTGCTCTTGGCAGCTGTTACACCATCCAAGCATTTTCGGTTCACCTGTTGCATCCTTTGACCTCTAATGTGACCTTGCAATCAGAGCCACCACCCTTCTCGAGGGACCACTATGTTGCCTGACTAAAGGTCAACAATTGCTATGGGCTGCAAGTTCCTAAACACGTGATCTTTACACACTTGCACCCAACCAACGTGTGAAGCTTTGTCATTATAGACTTTGTTAGCTCTAGCAACCGACATGTTCACCAAGTTTATCAGGAAGTTTTGTGTTGATGACATTCGTAAGGAACTTGACTCATGATACATGTGCACTAGCTTGATGGAAAGCCTTCAAGATATGATTTAATTATATTAAATAGGGAAATATGATATAGTTTGATTACGTTAAGTAAGGAAATATCTTAGAAAATATTGCACATTATTAGTTATTTATATTGTTCCTTATTAACGTTTTTCTTCTGCATTAGAAATAAGAGTGCTCACGTGTGTACAAGATACATATTTACAAGTAATCCCTTCAATTATTGCAATAACATCATTCAATAACAGTAGTAACAGAACAATTTTTATTGTCTGGCTGCTAAATATATTGTTTTTATTTGTAGGTTTTAGATTGCTTCAATAAGTTAGTTGGGTCAAATGCTTTTCTTGAGGACAATGGTTGCATTTTTTTGGCGTGTGATACAATAGTGAACCTACTATTGAAGGTGATTTTCTTATCATAGTGACCAGCCTTCTAATAATATATTGATTTTGCAAAATTTGACACGAGTATCACCTTTTTTACTGTAGAAAGACAAAATGCATATGATGTTGGATGAGTCTGCTATTGTTCGTCTTCTTAAAGCATTAGCTTATTGGTCAGGTACGATACTTGTCAGCAACCATTAAAATTAGTGTTTTCTCAAGCATATTTAAAATGTGCGAGAATAGCCTTGTACCTAAGTAGCATGTATGTATCTATTGAAGCAGGAGATTTCTGTTTCTCAGGCTTGACTACCCCAGTGCCTTGTACCTTACTGCTAAATTTCAGATCAGTTTTTGGTGTAAATGTGAGAGAGTAGCCTTAGGGTTTGAATCATGTACAAAATTCTTATAATCATCATACATGAGAATTTAAACTTAGTTGTGGGAGGATGTGATGTTTTGTCCAGAAATACAGTAAAACGAACATTTTTTTTCAGTTGTACTTTGCTGAAAAGCCAAAGTGAAGCAAAGTTTTTTCTTGAGACGATATAAACTAGGCATGTAATCTTGCTATGATCCACTAGCAAGATGTGGGACTTGAGTTCCACACTGGAGGTATTTGATTATACCTTTGAGCCCTCTGACTACAACGGCCAGCTCTTGTGTAGTGTGATTCACTAAAGGTTCTTATCAACTAGTATGAGAATTTTTTACCATGTCTCAGCTGCAAACTAGTAGTTCAAGTGGTGATACCAACATTGCTGTGCTCGCTTGTAACTAATCAAAAGGAACACAACTTGCCCGCTAGGGTGTGGGAGCTGCAGAGCATGGTGGGATTCAATGATATATGGAACATAAGTTACATGTATTCAATGATATATGGAACATTAGTTACATGTTGGAAGTATGAGATTTTAGTGAGATTTATGAGATTTTAGTCTCCAACTACAGTTGTTAATTTTTGTGTGATAGTAATCTTGTTTTGTTTAATAAAACCGTGTAACTGAGTTTATCTTGTATTCTTCAATATTATATCTTTTTGGGTGATATGGAATGGAATGAACAATGAGTGAAACCCTTAACATCAAAACTAGTATTTTATCATCAATGAATGTGAGAGAAGGTAATTTTTTATAATTAGATCTCACAGTGGAGAAAAAAACATAAAATTCTTACGGAGGGAATTGTTCAGTCATGCTGAGATACTATAATCAAATCTCCAAAGGGAAGGCAAGTATTCTTGAACAGGATCTTGCCACGCTTGGGCCAGTGTTTATTATGTTATGTGTGACAGGGCCCCATGAGAGAATTATGACTTTCAAAATTATAAAATCCTAGTAAATTANTGTGATGTTTTGTCCAGAAATACAGTAAAACGAACATTTTTTTTCAGTTGTACTTTGCTGAAAAGCCAAAGTGAAGCAAAGTTTTTTCTTGAGACGATATAAACTAGGCATGTAATCTTGCTATGATCCACTAGCAAGATGTGGGACTTGAGTTCCACACTGGAGGTATTTGATTATACCTTTGAGCCCTCTGACTACAACGGCCAGCTCTTGTGTAGTGTGATTCACTAAAGGTTCTTATCAACTAGTATGAGAATTTTTTACCATGTCTCAGCTGCAAACTAGTAGTTCAAGTGGTGATACCAACATTGCTGTGCTCGCTTGTAACTAATCAAAAGGAACACAACTTGCCCGCTAGGGTGTGGGAGCTGCAGAGCATGGTGGGATTCAATGATATATGGAACATAAGTTACATGTATTCAATGATATATGGAACATTAGTTACATGTTGGAAGTATGAGATTTTAGTGAGATTTATGAGATTTTAGTCTCCAACTACAGTTGTTAATTTTTGTGTGATAGTAATCTTGTTTTGTTTAATAAAACCGTGTAACTGAGTTTATCTTGTATTCTTCAATATTATATCTTTTTGGGTGATATGGAATGGAATGAACAATGAGTGAAACCCTTAACATCAAAACTAGTATTTTATCATCAATGAATGTGAGAGAAGGTAATTTTTTATAATTAGATCTCACAGTGGAGAAAAAAACATAAAATTCTTACGGAGGGAATTGTTCAGTCATGCTGAGATACTATAATCAAATCTCCAAAGGGAAGGCAAGTATTCTTGAACAGGATCTTGCCACGCTTGGGCCAGTGTTTATTATGTTATGTGTGACAGGGCCCCATGAGAGAATTATGACTTTCAAAATTATAAAATCCTAGTAAATTAGATGGAATGCTTAGAAACATTTCACCATGGAAATTTCATGTATGTTGCTTAGCGATCCTTTTACTGTTGACTGTATCTCTGACAAGTACCATTTATTTTTTTTTACTTCATTTGATGAATTGACAGTATGAAGTAAAGCATGTATCTTAACTTAGTTGTTGAAACATGGTTTGTAGATAACACTGATGAAATGTCTAGTATGATGATGGCTGCAAGCATCTGTGCACTGGTTTTTGAGTATACATCAGAAGAGGCTCTTTTGAATCGACCTGATTTCAACTATAGCACTCTTCGCACTCTTTATCTGCTCATTGCAAGATGTCTGACTTCATCAGAACAGGTGCATTGCCCTTTCATTGTTAATTGTTAATTTGTCTAAAGTTGCATTGTTTATTTAGAAAATACTGTTGCAGCTGAACTACTTTGTAAAGAATTAGGCAAAAGTAATTCTATTTATGCCCTATATACGTTTATGTTCAATGATCTCAATAATGTGTCTTTCCACGCCAAATAGAACAGTTGTGTAACAATCTTTGTTGAATAGTATCCTTTAAGTTTTGAAAATCCTTGGTCTCTTTCTGTCTTTATTTTTTTGTTATATGATTTGATTATGATAAAGATATGATTTGAATCCATATACATAGTACATATACATCTCATACATTGATTTTGATACCAAGTGTTGTCAAACCTGCGAGTTTTGGTTCGGTTCCGTGCTAACACCTGATTGGTTATCTGTTGCAGGGTACTAAAGAGGATATGGATCTTTCAGAAATTGTCTCATCTGGTGATTATGTTTACTGTAATGCTAGTTATTAGAGCACCAAAGGCTTTTGAGGTCCTTGCATTTTCTAACTCTTGTTCTGCAGGCTTCTCTCGATGGGCTCATCGTTACCCCCGTATCAGAGAGGCTGTCAAGACGTGATTTTGATCCTCTTATCTGGAAGGTACCATTACTAAATTCACTCTGTCAAATATTTAATTCATGAAAATCTTTTACTCTACTTTCTGACTGCTTGTTACAACATTAAATTACCAGGTATTCATTGTAAAAGTGAAGTGATGTGCCAATACATGCAATTGGAAGAAGGGCTAATTGATTTGTCATAAATATTAATAGATTTATTTATTAGAGATAAAAGGTAATATGTTAGACTTTTTCTAATTTATTTTTCATAAATAGTTTATTTTTTTTAAATTCTAATTTTTTTTTTTTTTTTCTTATAGCGGTATATCTCTTTTGCTTGTGTTACACCATGATGATCGGCTGAGTTTTTTTTCAGAGAGAAATATTCTCATATTAATTTTTTAAAAATAAAGGAGAAAGAGAAAAGTAAACTGAAACGAAAGTTTTTTTCAAAACAGGGACAGTGAGGGTGCATGATTGGTTATACTCGTAAAAACTTGTATTTATTCTGTACTTTATTTGTATTTTAGTTTTATTGTAAATGTTATATTATAAAGATTAAATGTTAAAAGGAAATAGGTTTTCAATAACTAATATAGAAAGAATATAACTGTTAATTAGTTATATATAATTAAAATTCCATATTACTTACCATGTATACCATAAAAACTTGATTTGATGATGCGCGATTTCAGGTGGAAAAAAAACTGTTAAATAAAGATTGTGATAAAAAATAAAAAATAAATTGAGATTATTTAGTAATGGAAAACATGTTTCAATAATTTTAAAATAAAAAAAATATAAAATGTAATAATATATATTACTTATGTTCGTACCCAATTTTTAAAAAATTTACTATTATATATAGACCATATGTCGGTATAATTGATATTATATAATAAAATGGATTAGGACAAGATCAGTGTCGGTGGATTTTTAATCACAAAGCACTTTTTATAATTATATAGTTAAAGAGAAAGTAATTTTTACTTCTACCTTAATGAAAACTAGTAACATACAATCCATCAAACCGATTTCTAGCTGAACCAAAATGCTGTGTGCTTAACAAAACCATGATTTTATTCAGAGTGATTTATTTATAAAATAACTTAACAAAAGTCAATGATATGCACATACTGAGAAAAGGCTGAGATGAAACTGTGCTACTGATTCTGCTTATGTACACAAGACTTGATCATTCTATAGTGCAAAACAGTAGTAAAACAGAGTACTCTGCTGTTGGGAGCTCTACTCATTGTGATGCCATGAGAGAACAACATCTTGAAGGCCAAGTTTCCAATCATCCCAATGAAGTTGGTCAAACTCCATAGCACCATCTACAACTTTAATAGCAACAAGGAGCAAGTCAGACACAATCTCAAACACCTCAACTGCCAAACCCACTTTCCCCTTTCCTAGCCCAATTACACCGTTCTTTCCAACCTCAATCCTAAACCCTAACCTCTCCCCAACCTCCTTCACCTTCGCCTCCACCGTTCCCACGCTCTTCTCCGAACTGAACCTCTTCTCCCTCCGCCTCCCCTTCTCCGACGTCGTTTCGAACAGCCCTCGCAAGTCCAACCCCGACGACATTGATATTATGTCAAAAGCGTTCATCCCCAATTTGTAACCGTCGCAGCACTTGTTATATAAATCAGACTCCACAACACTCTCCTCCAACACATTATATCAAACATGCTTCTTATCCCTTAACCATCTGTTATCGAAAACTCTGTCAAGCGAAATTCGCGATTTAGGATTTGGGTCCAGCAATTGGTGGATGAGGCTGCGCGCGGATTTTGAGATCCACGCCGGGAATTGATAGTCGCGGCGGGATATTCGGCGGCACATGGCAGGAATGTTCGAATCGTCAAAGGGGAGGTGGCCGGCGAGAAGGTTGTAGAGAATGACACCGCAGGACCAAGCGTCGGCCTTGGAACCGTCGTAGCCGACGCGGCGTAGGACCTCCGGCGCAGTGAAGGCCGGCGTGCCACATGCGGTGTGGAGGAGGTTATCACGGAGGTGTTCCGGGAGTGCGGAGAGGCCGAAGTCAGAGACCTTAAGGTCGCCGGCGGCGTCGAGGAGGAGGTTCTGCGGCTTGAGGTCGCGGTGCGCGATGCCGTGGCGGTGGCAGAAGAGGAGCGCAGAGACGAGTTGGGAGAAATAGCGCCGCGCCCGAGACTCCGGGAGGCGGCCACACCGGGAGAGCTTGGAGAAGAGCTCGCCGCCGCCGGCGTAGTCGACGACGAGGTAAATTTTGGTCTTCGTGGCGAGAACCTCGTGGATTTTGAGGATGTTTGGGTGGTTCTGGAGACGGCGCATAGCGTCGATCTCGCGCACAATGCGGGGTTCCATGGCGGCGTCGACCGTCTTGGACTTGTCGATGACCTTGACGGCCACCGTGGCGCCGTCGACGAGTGAGCGCGCCTGGTAGACCTTGGCGAATTTGCCGCGGCCAAGGAATCGCGTGAGCTGGTACCTACCGAGGATGGTTCGTGGTGGCGGCGACGCTTCCATCTTGTGGAAATGAATCACCACGCCAACCAACTGTCACGGAGTGTGCTTCCATATATATACAATTTTTTCTTTTTCCTCATTCCCATTCTGCCCTTGCCTTTTGATCCAACGAAGGAAATAAATTATACAAGTTTAATTAATTAGAGTTTTTCTCAATTCTCTCAAAAACTTTTGAAAATATAAAAGCTCGTACATTCTTATGTATCTTTTTATCTTGTCATTTAATATTTATATTTAAAATTAATAAATATCAGATACCATCTCATATTAAAAGCGTAAAAATTGAAAAAGTAATAATATTACCTTCAATTTTAAAATGATATAATGAAAACAAATCTTTTAGAAAATTAGAGTATATTGAATATGTGACTTTTGTTCCTGAACAAATCGTAAATATCCCTTCCGGAATTGTGTGTATTGTTTTTGAACGAGAGAATTTTGATATATTTTTTTTATAATTCTTTTGTAGGTTTTAAATTTTTTAATTATTCGCATAAAATTAAATAACCTACTTATTTTTAATTATAATTATACTTTTTTTTTTCAAAAGGTGATGATAAATATTAATTACTCTCTTCTAAATATAGTTCATATTACTAATTATTAAAGTATTTATGCAATATATAAAAGAAGGGTTTTACTTAGTTTGAAATGAACAAATTCATCTTCAATAATAATACATATTAATTGTTCGCTTCTTATTTCTGAAAGGGACCGTTATTTTTATTATAATATTATTGTATTATTATTTGTTTACTTTTGTCATAAACGTATTTTGACTTAAATAACATAAGTTTGTTTTATTTTATTCTATTTATTTATTTTTTGTAGTATGCTAATTATGTTTAATAATTGAAATCAATGAATTCGTCCACATCATAGGATATGATTGGAAAATCGTTTTAAGGGATAAAAAATACAGTATTTGTTGGGACACAATAAAGAGGATCTTGAGAATAAATTATTTATAGAAAAAGTGTAATTTGTGAATGAAGTATATAGTAGTAAATCATTATAAAAATAGTTCAAATATTAAGGTTGAGAAGAAAAAGAGAGAAATATTAGAGGGGATTTTTTTTTTTGAGTTTCAATTTAAATATTTAATTATTTAAAAGAATTTACCAAAACAAGGTATTCTTGACGAATGACAGTATTAAACAAAATAGCCTATGGGAGTTTGTCAAGTTATATATAATTTAAAATAGTAATATTTATTATATGGAGCAAAAACAATACTTAAAATTTGCTATATTCTATTTTTTTCGTTTTCACGCATATTATTTTATTTTGAACCAAATATTAATTCATTTCCAAAATTTTATTTATATCAGCTTTTTCATATATTTATCGTTAATCTTTAGATTATATATTATTGTATCCAAGTGGAGGAAAAAGAAAGACCACATAAATATCTGTACCTCTTTAAGTATATCATAAAGTGATTAGAGGAAACTGTGTCATATCACTCAAATTACCATTATAAATCGTTGTTCAAATGACATTTACTAATTTTAATGATTATTTTCATTGCATATATTTCTTTATGTGAAATTATTTAAATTTTGCCTTTTTAAAGTATAAACGTGGTTAATTGTTTGATTATTTTAAAAAATTCAACATCGTTTGTAGTTGTATAAGTAGAAATTACTACTAATAGAGATTTAGTGTGGACCAAGTTAGGAATTTAATAACAATTCCACATTTTACTAACTAAAATGTTGAGTCAAATGGAAAAAAAGAAAATTCAAATACTATTATGTTAGAGTTTCTAATTATTATCTTAAATAAAAAGTTCCAATACATTTGTAATATCTAAAAAAGTATTGCATTTAGTTAACGGAATACTACTTGTGATCCCACTTATTTTGACGTTCCAGTCGCTTGTGAATGTTAGGGAACGTGTGTTCGGTGACCCCCCAGTACTACAGATGGACCGCAATTACAGCACACTCTATTTACAAGGCCGCACAGAGCATAATTAAAGATATGCGAAGATGGAATTGAAAAAATAAATAAAAATACAAGAATAAATCTCTCAAAGGTAAAAGGAAGTAAAAAATTGTTTTATGTATTTGTGCGTGAAAACTGCTCTTTTGATGTTGGGTTGCTTTTAATATTATTTTTTATCATACTTGTATTTATTAAAAAAAAAATTTACACACCTAAATTATTACATTCATTTGACCACTATCCTTACTTACATTTTCCTTTCTTTTTTCTTGAAAATACAAAAGTTTACACTTTTATGACTATTTTATCTTATGAGTCTATTCAAATAAATATAAAAGTGTGTCATGATATCATTACTTTATTATAAATCATGAGAAAAGAGAAGAAAAATATTTAAATTACAATATATATCATTGTTACATGACGGAATATTTACTATTTCTTAAAAGAAATTTAAACATAATAGATTCTTTTCTTATCTATTATATATTATGGTATATTTAATTACCTATATAACAGGATGAATAGAATTAAGAATTTGAATATGATAGGAGGATATAGAAAGTATGTATAGTCTTAATTTTACTTTTTAGTTTGAGATCTATTTTGAATACATTTTGGGTTGAGGTACATCACATCACATGTGCAACAACCCAGAGAGAAAAAAATTGAGTACAAAGTACCATTCTCTTATAAAGTCAAGAGCTATTATAATTGCAAAGCTTATTAATAAGAAAAAAAAATGTAGTTAATGAGTGATGAATATTGAAAATAAAAGTCACTTATTGAAGAAGGTTGCATATGATAATAATTGGTCATAAAAAATAAGGACCCGCCATTTTCATTGCCTTCTATTCATAGGAGCGTGGTGCCTATACTATTGCAGTGTTCCGATTCATTCGGAAAGACAACTTCCTTCTGGTTCAACAAATTAATGTTATTCTATAAAATTCAAATTGTCCCAACCTATAGTCCTAAACAAATTACTAAAGTAAATGTGTCTAATTTACTAAGTAATAACGTGCCATTTGGAATCATCACTCTATTATATAATTTATGTTAAAAAACGTGCAGGAAATTGAACAAAGAAATAGATATTTACAAAGACTCTTCTAAACTTTAGTACGATTAGTTGATGATACATGAGTGCTGTTTTTAAAAGGGAGAGGCATAACGCATCGAAGGCTCACATCAATTAGAAATATGATAATTGAAAGATAGTATAAGAAGAATGCAAATCTCATCTTACAAGTCGATTTTGTGAAGTTTAATTAGATTTAAAGTTTACATTTTAATAAATTAATGTCATTTTTATTTTGTTTATATCTTAACATTCTTAGGTGAATGTGGGAAAAAAATTGAAGTAGAGTGATAAAAAAAAGCGTAGTGAATGATACGAGGTAGCCCGCACACGCAGTTTAAGTTTGGTTTCATGTAATTTCGAAGGAGATTCATAGATTGGTGCTTTAAGGATGGCGTCGTTAAGATCGCTTCACTTTCTCTTGTACTTTGAATATTGGTTGGGAAGTCAAACTCAACAACGTTGTATGTTCTATCATTTTTAATAAAAAACAAAGGACAAATAACACTTGTGTTTTTTTTTTCTCAACTGTAACTAACAACTCTCTTTTATTTTAAAACACACATTCATTTCCTAAACATTCAATTCTTTTTATCATCTTTTAATACATAGTGTGCCCATTAAAATTTAAAATATAATTATGAAGATTAATAAGTTTTAATATATAGCCTTTAGAATGAGTATTTGTTTATGCCATTTTCTTGGAATTAATTTCTTATACTTTAAAAGTTTGTTCAATATAACTCTATCAAACATCTTATATGTAGAAATAGACATGTTTGTTTGACTTTGACTGAGTTTAAAATTTATATTAGTTTTTTGTTTAAAATAATCAAATATCTTGGTAATTAATTTTATTGAAATATCTTCGATCTGTAATAATGATTATTCTGTTGGAAGTCTCACCCGACTAGAGAAAGGCTAAAGAAATATATATAATATATATAGATATATATATTATAAGATATATATAGAAAAGGAGGTGCAAAACTCCGAGGATGAGTGCAGGGCTTTAAAGTCCACTTCTAATATATTCTTAATATTCAATACTTTCTACTTATTATTCTACACAAGTTTTCACAATAGAATTAATGTTTTATACTTATTTTATTAAATTCACACAATAAATCTTAATTTTCTAAAATATCATAATTAATTAAATCTACGATAAAAGAACTCTACACAACCATAATAAAATAAAAAAAAATGTTAATTAATCATTACTTTTTTATTCTTAAAAATATCTCTTTTATCATAATATATATTTACTAATCCTAATAAAAATACCAAATAAATACTTCCAAGACTCGTTAGGTGGCAAGCTAATATAAGAGTAAAAGATGGTATATCTTTTCTTTATTAAAAATTGTTTTGACAATACAATACATTTGAAAAATTAGCAACATTCGTTTATTTACATATTTTAATATAAAACAAAAATAAAAACATTAAGTAACTATGTATAACAAAAGTGTTTGCTTGATCTCATTAATTTTTAAAAATATTTGAAAATCGAGCTTAATTGATATATAGGGTATAAATGGAGTCAACTTTATTGTTATACATCGCACCAAATTAAAATGAACCACTTGTCATTACAAATTTGTTCACTATTCATTAATTTTTTGAATGGACCTATGACATATGATCATCATTACAAAATTCATCACAAAATTTTTAAAATAGTTTTGTCACTAGAAAATCTCTTTTACAAAATTGTAACTACTTTATAACCACTTTTATCATGATGTAAAATATTTTGTTTTAGTAAATAAACAAAATGGAGTATGTAGGGTATGCATGGGACCAAACGAAGGAAGTTAGCATGCATGGCATTGAAGACAAGTATGCAAGAGTTCCAACAGTCCACAAACATGAGTTTGGCAAGGAATCTCTGTGACAATGGAAGACGTGATGAGGTGTCATTAATTTGTAGGTCATCGTTTCGAACATCCTCAGAGGTTCTGTCTGTCCAGGTTATTGTCTTCAACCAACCATTATTGAGTACCTTCATTCACAGACTCCTTGCTATCTTCCAAAAACAAAATCATATGTGTCCTTAATTTCATTTTT